GTCTCTCTGTCTCTCAGTCTCTGTCTCTCTGTCTTGTCTCTCTGTCTACATCTCTCTGTCTCTCTGTCACTCTTTGTCTCTGTCTCTCTGTCTCTGTCTCTCTGTCACTGTCTGTCTGTCTTTCTGTCTGTCTCTCTGTCTACATCTCTCTGTCTCTCTGTCACTCTGTCTCTGTCTCTGTCTGTCTCTGTCTCTCTGTCTCTGTCTCTCTGTCTTGTCTCTCTGTCTACATCTCTCTGTCTGTCACTCTGTCTCTGTCTCTGTCTGTCTCTGTCTCTGTCTCTCTGTCACTGTCTCTCTGTCTTTCTGTCTCTCTGTCTACATCTCTCTGTCTCTCTGTCACTCTGTCTCTGTCTGTCTCTGTCTCTGTGTCTCTGTCTCTGTCTCTCTGTCTTGTCTCTCTGTCTACATCTCTCTGTCTCTCTGTCACTCTTTGTCTCTGTCTCTCTGTCTCTCTGTCTACATCTCTCTGTCTCTCTGTCATTCTTTGTCTCTGTCTCTGTCTCTGTCTCTGTCTCTCTGTCTCTCAGTCTCTCTGTCTCTCTGTCTTTCTGTCTGTCTCTCTGTCTACATCTCTCTGTCTCTCTGTCACTCTTTGTCTCTGTCTCTCTGTCTCTCTGTCTATATCTCTCTGTCTCTTTGTCACTCTTTGTCTGTCTCTGTCTCTGTCTCTCTGTCTCTCTGTCTCTCTGTAGCAATATCTGTCTCATCTACATATGTGCACATATCCTATGGGCTCTATTTCCCTGAGGAACCTTGACTAACACACATAGACTCAAGTAGAAGTGATTCTGAGAAGAAAAATGTTGGATATGGCCCATTTTTAAATCAATAAAATTTCCAGTTTTTCTCCACCTGCCAACAAACCTCTTAAAATTTTTCCCCTTAAGTTCTAATGGTTAAAAATGCCTACTTAAAAGCAATCTTTAAATAATTAAAGCAGGAGGGCACCCCGGGCGCCCTTGGACAGTCTTGGCTCTGCATATAATGACCGGTCCCATGCAGGGCAGTGGGGCAAGGGCCCTAGACCTGCTCCAGGCCCTGCCCCATGTGAGCTTGGCCAACCCAAAGCCGAATCCAGGCTCCAGGAAACCGGAAAGACGGCGAAGAGGTCGGAGAAGAGGTAGAAAATGTGGCCGAGGCCATAAAGGAGAGCGTCAGAGAGGAACCTGGCCCAGACTGGGCTTTGAGGGAGGCCAGACTCCATTTTACATTCGAATCCCAAAATATGGGTTTAATGAAGGTCATAGCTTCAGAAGCCAGTATCAGTCTTTGAGTCTCAATAGATTGAAGTATCCTATTGATTTGGGTCAAGTGGATCCTACTCAACCTATTGACTTACTCAGCTGGTCAGTGGAAGAGGTGTGACCATCCAGCCACCTAAAAGGGATTATGGTGTCCAGCTGGTAGAGGAGGGTGCTGACACCTTTAAGGCAAAAGTTAATATTGAAGTGCAGTTGGCTTCAGAACTAGCCATTGCTGCAACTGAGAAAAACGGTGGTGTTGTTACTACGGCCTTCTATGACCCAAGAAGTCTAGAAATTCTGTGTAAACCCATTCCATTCTTTCTGCACGGACAACCCATTCCATTCTTTCTGCACGGACAACCCATTCCAAAACGAATGCTTCCGCCTGAAGCACTGGTACCGTATTATACTGATGCAAAGAATTGTGTTTACCTGGCCGATCCTGCCAAATTTCCTGAAGCAAGACTTGAACTTGCCAAGAAGTATGGCTATATTTTACCTGATATCACTAAAGATGAACTTTTCAAAATGCTTAGTACTTGAAAGGACCCAAGGCAGATTTTCTTTGGTCTTGCCCCGGATGGGTGGTGAATATGGCAGATAAGAAAATCCTCAAACCTACAGATGAAAATCTCAAGTATTACAGCTCATGAATTCCCTTCCAAGAAAGCAGAGTTGTAAAAGAGTTCTGGAAGAAAACAGACATGCTTATTTCTCATCATCTTGTCTTGATTTATGGTTCTCTAGATGTTGATGTTAATTTTCCATGTAGCCCTATATCCATTTTTATCTAAAATTGAAATAAAAAATGGAATAAGCAAGGGCTGTATAGGGGAACTGAATCTGTGCGGGTTTTTTCTCACTTAAAAAAACAGACTCCCTGGTTTTCTGCCAGAGGAAGATGGTAACTTTTAGGGTATTTCTTGTTCGTTTTCTCATGATCTTTTCGTCCAGGTCTTGTGTTATCATTGTTGCAAATCAGAATGAATGTGCAGGTGGAATGGAATTGACTTTTTTTTAAAGATATTTATTTATTAGAGATAATGAGAGCAAAAGAGGTCACAGAGGGAGAGGGAGAAGCAGACTGGCCACTGAGCAGGGAGCCCGATGTGGGGCTCGGTCCCGGGACCTTGAGATCATGACCTGAGCTGAAGGCAGACGCTCAACCGACTGAGCCACCCAAGCATCCCTGGAATGGGATTAATTGCTAAGCCTGCTCAGTCAAGTTTAAAGCAGTTACTAATGGTGGCCCATCTTAATAGCCTCAAGGAAGCTCTGCTATCCAGTGTCAAGGTGGAAAGCCTTCAACTCTGGATTATTAAGATATGGGATTTGAGCTTAAGGTTTAAACACAGTAAATAAGTAGTACAGTATTTACTAGAAAAACTAAAGCAAAAATTCCAAGTGAATTCATTTTCTCAACTCATCTGATAAGAGTAGACAATAACAATTAAGCCATTAACCATTTTCTTGAAGAAGTGTTCTAATTCTAACTGATATTTTACTTATTTCATAGATATTGGAGACCTTTGTTTTTCAGTCATTTTAAATGATTTTTGAAAAATTGTTAAGTGATTATATAAGCCATAAAAACAACTGGTAATGTGAAAATTTAACTCAGTTAATGTAAAAGGTTCAGCGTTCAGCTTATTTAGCTTTGCAAAGATGTGTTGTACCTGAACCATACAAAAGCTCACTTTATCCTGCTGCAATTAAATCTCGAATAAGTCATGATAATTTTTCCACAGGAAAAATAAATTATTCTTGGCTGTTTATTTTTTAAAATAAAAAATTTAAAAGCCTAAATAAATAAATAATTAAATCAAACAGTCCCCTCTGTGAAATACAGTGTGTTTATGAGCTCTGATCTCCCCGTGGTGCTGTGGTCCCTTTGCTCTCCACCTGCCAGGTGTCCAGGGCCCCTGAGAGGCCAGTGCATCTGTTCTCTGGGGCTCCTCCTGGACCCCTCCCCACCAAGGAGGCCAGGGACCCCAGGGCCTTAGCATTCTGAAAGAGGAATTTCCTCATAAGCCGTAGCTGAACCCAAGAATACTGCCCTACTCAGAGTTCTCAGCATGGGCTTCAGAATCCAATGGCTGGGGCTCTACCCACCTCTTTCTCCCTTCTGACCATGGGGAACAAACCAAACTTCTAGAGAACATTCTCTGTGGTCTGCTGGGAGCTCCCAGTCTTTACCATGCATGTGTCCACTAGCTCTCCACTGGAAACGAGCAGCTGAGAGACCATGGAGTAAACCACCATGAACCACAGACTAAACCACCACAGACCACAGACTAAACCAGTTTGAACCATGGACTAAAACACCACAGACCACAGACTAAACCACCTTGAACCATGGACTAAACCACTACAGACCACAGACTAAACTACCATGAACCATGAACTAAACTACCACTAACCACGGACTAAACCACCACAGACCACAGACTAAACTACCATGAACCATGAACTAAACTACCACAAACCACGGACTAAACCAGTTTGAACCATGGACTAAAACACCACAGACCACAGACTAAACCACCTTGAACCATGGACTAAACCACTACAGACCACAGACTAAACTACCATGAACCATGAACTAAACTACCACAAACCACGGACTAAACCAGTTTGAACCATGGACTAAACCACCATAGACCACAGAGTAAACCACCACAGACCACAGACGAAACCACCACAGACCATGGACTAAACCACCACGAACTATAGACTAAACCACCACGGACCACAGAGAAAACTGCTGTGAATCATGAGGAAAATGTCTGGTGGGCAGGGCCTCCCTGGGACAGCTCTGCTCACACAGGTGGCCCCATCAGGAAAGCAGACAAGACACTGCTTGGTCATAGGATGCAGCCACACCTCTGCTTCCGTCTTTGTTCGCACACGTCGTGACACCGAGCCCCTCCTGTGTGTCCTGACCAGGTGACCGCCAGGAGCAGGGGAGGTGGGTTCCCTTTAAGGTCTTTCAGTGAACGGCTCAAAACAGCCCCCACCTGCGAGCCCCTCCCTGCTATTACACGGTGGGTTCTTCGCTGCCGTGACAGCGCTTCAAGCACTCCCTTTCCCTCTCTGTTGGTCATGGAGTCAGAGCATCAGTTCCCCCCTCCCCCCAGGAGACACAGGGAGCCCCCCAGTCAGTCATCTCCTCGAAATCTGATTGTTGGTGTGTATGTCGTTTTATGATCCTGCACACGCTGGTGATAGAGGCGGATGAGGCACGGGGAGGAAAGCCCAGGCTCCCTCCCGGGGGCACAGAAGGAGCATCTGTGTTCGGACAACGGCGGCTGAGGATGGAATGGGGCGGTCCAGCTCGCCCGCCCCGCGGCTGACAAGGAAGGACACTACCACGCCCCATGCCCTACAAGGGGCACATCTTCCGAGGAGACGCATCATGACCTGCAAGAGCAGGACGCCCGCCTGGCGCCGCCCGGAGCTTAGGACCCAGACTCAGAAGACCCCCCAGTAGCTGCCCGCCTCCAAGGACCGAGTCAGGCTGGCGCTTGGGGTGCACCCGGTCCTCACAACCAAGCTTGTGCGAGGCATCAGATGGGAGCAGGCGCCCTGACAGGACTGGGGGCCCAGCGCTTGGGGGCACACCCCCCCACCCCGGAGTGGAAGAGTGACAACTGGGCCGATCCAGCCTGCACTCAGGTCCGCGTTTCTGCACTGGAGTTTGTCTCCAAAGGTGGCCCACCAGCCATGGACCCAGCCTCCCTACAGCTGTGGGTCTCACACTCTGGGCTCCGCAAACTAAAGGGATGAGAAACAGAGCAGAACCCTCAGGACACAGGCCACGGTCGAGGAACACGGTCCTCACTGTGGTGGGGACCAAGGGGGATGCCTGGAGGCAGACGTGGGTGATGCTCCAGGGAAGGTGGAGCTGCTGAGTGTCGCTGCCGGGGTGGCAGGGAGGGCTGTGCCCAGTGACGTGTGATGACCTGTCCTCAGGGGTGAGCGCTACGGGGCTTGTGGGCAAACACTCTCATTTCTTGACCCTTGGGGTCATTCCTCCCATGTCACAGAGGCAGAGAAGACGCTCTTGAGCCAGGCCTCACCCTCTTGAGGACAGGGTGCTTGGGGGCGCCTCACACCCGTCAACCCCATGGGCCCAGGACCTGGTGCCCACTCAGGACCTGCTGAGTGGCTACCTGGCCGACGCTTCCTGGGAAGGGGCAGGCGTCCCTTGGCATAGCCTTGCGGAGACTTCGGGTAGACTCCTGGGTCGGGTACCCTCTGAGAATTCGAAGGCCCCACCTACACCAGGGAGCTCAGCCGCTAGGCTCATTTTCAAGGTGAGTGGAGACAGCACCAGACCAGGAGGCCTGTGCACACTCAGCTCACGCCCAGCCAGCCCTCCCCTGGCTGGCGGCAGGTGACAGCCTTCCTTTGCATGCTGTGCCCCGTGTCCTGGGCTCCAGAGAGCCTCCCGCACCTGCTCCCAGCCCCTCGTGCTGCTGGACTGGGGAGGCCTCTCTGGACCTCACAGACACCCCACGGCACCAGCTGGGCTGGCGTGTGGGCTCCGCCAAGCTATTTATGGAGCTGTGCGGAGACAGAGAAGCCAAGCCCAGGACTGGAGGCAAGTACCACCCCGGGAACGAGGTCTCAGCCCCGCCAAACAGCCCCCTCCCCACAAGAGCCCCCAGGCCCGAGTGTCCTCCTGGGTTTGCCCTATGAAGTGGCCACTGCTGTGGGTAAGGCTGGAGGGCAAGCTCCCACAGTTCCCCCTAAAGAACTGCTCACAGGCCCCAGGCGGCTGGCCAGGACTCTGAAGTGAACTTCTGCGGTACCCGGGCTTGGGTCAGAAAAGGCGCAAGGTCAGGACGACACCAAAGGCCAGGTCACCAGGGCCACATGGAGCAAAGGAGACCAGAAATGTGGAGGGGCCTGGAGTCGTCTGCCAGGCTTCCCTCACACTGTCCCCAAGACCCTCGCCATGCCGGCTCTGGTACCTTGTAACTGAACTGGGTCCCCCATTCCTTCCACCTGAGCCCCCATTCGTGTCCCGTCTGACCAGGGCTGTCCTGGGCGACTGCTGCCCACGGCGGGAGCGCACCGGCGTCCCCTGCGTGACGCTGGGCCTACCTGGAGAGGCAGAGGGTGAGACGAGCAGGTGGGGAGGGTCGCGGGCGCCGGGCAGAAGCCCGCGTAGGCCAGGACCTGCTGGGCGGGGTTGTAGAGGATCTGAGGCGGAGTGGACGGGCCGTAGGCCAGCTGGGACGGGGGGACCTGTCACGAGAAGGGACACACGTCAGCCAGCCACCTGGGCTGCAAGCTGATGGCCTGCGGAGCCCTGTCCTCCCGCCGCCCTCCTTTGACGCCTCTCGGGCCAGAACTAAACCCCTCAAAGCAGGGCTTATTTTTGTTTTTTATTTTTCTCTTTGTCTCAGGGACTCGCCAACATGCCGGGTTAGGCCAGGATCTCTTTGGTGTTTTGTTTGAAAAAGCAAGAAAACTGCTGGTTCTGTGGTGACTGGGTGGCTCAGTAGGTTAAGTGTCCGTCCCTGGATTTCGGCTCAGGTCATGATCGCGGGAGTGTGGGATCAAGCCCCCCATCAGGCTCCACGCTCGGTGGGAAGTGTGCTTGGGATTGTCTCCCTCTGCCCCTCCCCCCCAAAATAAATAAATAAGTCTTAAAACCCCACCACTGGTTCCTCCCCCCCAGGGGCATCTGTTACGGGGCGTCTCTCAGCCCGGGTGTGGCAGTAGGGGGTCTGACTGCCCACGTGTGCTGTCCAGACACCACAGCACAGGGCTGCGCCCCCTGGTTGCAGGGATTTCTGGAGAAGTGCACATAACACCAAAGCACCCAACCCCTCTGGGCCCCGCTCTTGTGAGCTCACCAAGTGACTCCAGGACTTGGGCCTTCCGCCTGTCGCCCCCAGAGGGGGCTGTGGGCTGGAGCCCTCCCCAGAGGGAGGCTTGGGGGCTTCCAGACTGAGGTTCCTCCCTGCACGGACAGACCTGGATTCCCCCCCCACCGACACCACGGGGCAGGCCCTGCCACGTCGGGGAGGGGCTTCGGTAGCAGAGAGGGAGTATCTGAAAACTCGTGGCCGCCCACTGAGGGTAAGTGGAGGCAGGGTCCTGAGCGGTGGGGATGGGAGGGGACCAGCGGGGGCGGGCAGCAAAGGAAGCAGAGAACACACCCACATCTGCCCACACCAGCACACCCTCGGAGGGAGGGGCTCTGCTAATGCACCTGTCACCTCCTGGCCCCCCCCACCGGGCTGCCTCTGCACACCCCAAGAGTCAACTAAGGACTCTAAGAAAGAACGGGAACCTGGGGGCCCACAACTCGCCGGCTGTGTTCATGACCACACCCTGCCGAGCACCTACTGTGTGCGCTGGGCTGAGCTACGAGCTATCCTGGGGGACTAGAGCCATGCACACGGAAGGGTGTGCAGAGCATCTCGAGACCTGAGACCGGATTTGTGGGGGAGCATCCCTCAGGCTGCATCCCGCGACCTGGGGGTTGGGCCATGCAGGGCTGGTGGCAGGGTGTTGTGGGCTGGAGAGGGCCCTGCTGGGCCTGACTCGGTGTTTGTGCCATTTTGGGGTTTGGAGGATGAGCAGGGTTGGGGTCTCCCATGAGGGAGTAAAACGTGTCGGCTTGGGCAGCCCCGCTCTGCTGGGGACGCTGGGAGCCCAGCCTGGCTCAGGCCTCTCTCCCTGCACCTGCCCATCTGGCCCTGACTTGCCCAGGGCCCAGCCGCGTGCCTGAGGACTCGCCGCCCACATTTCTCAAGGTACCTTCCCCACACAGACTGGGTTAAACGCACTGCCACGTTCCCGAGGCCACGCCGCCCCCGGAGACCCTCCTGCAGACCCCAGTCCTCACACTCTGCCTCCCTGCACCCTCCTCGGGCAAGCATCTGGCAGCAGCCTTGGGGGCCTAAAGATAATCTTTAAATTATAAAATCCATTAAACTTACAAGACTACTCAGTAGGTGTAAATTTTTAAGGAATAACCTTCCTTCTTTCTTACAGTACCCCAGAGCTTTGATACGGCTCTGTGGCCTTTGCTGACTGGTGGCCCTTCTGGACGTCGCTTCATTCTGAACCGTCCAGCAATTTTACTGTGGACTTGGCTCCTAAAATTGGCCAATGACCAAGGTCTCCAGAGCACTCGGGAAGCGCCAGCCCGACGCCAGTTTGGGTGTGGCCTGTGGGGGCCTGGTGGGCATGTGTGGTCACACCGGCCTTTCCCAACTCAAGTGGGTGCCGTGCGCTCTCCGGCGTCGGCGACCGGCTTCAGGAGGCGTTGTGTGTGCTGCGCGGGAAGTCTAGAACAAGCAGGTGCAGGGAGGAGACAGGACAAGGGTGAGCTGCTCCCGGCGCAGACGTACAGAGAGAAGCTGGGAGGGCGCTGCCCGCGGGGAGGCTCAGCGGGAGCCGCGGCTGGCAGCCCCCGCCTCTGCCAGGCGCCCAGCCCTAAAGCCCCCGTTCACGGGTTCACACGTCGGGATCACCTCTAATTTGGGCAAATGCGGACTGAAGCCCTGGCTCCAGGACAGGAGGCTCGGGGGTTCCCTGTGCAGCGGGGGTAAGGGGGTGGGGTGAACAGACGGTGGGGGGCAGGTCGGTCGCTCCTCCCGCGTCCCCAGCGGTTTGGGGCAGCCCGCGCCTCAGAGGAACCGCTCGTGTGAACAGCCGGTGAAGGCTTGCCGGGTCGCCAACACCCTGCGGGCTGTCTTCACGAGCCTCTACTCCCCCATTTGTAGGTGAGGATAAGGAGGCCCACCCTGCCCGCCCCGGCGGACGTGGGCCCCGAGCCCCGACCCGTCTGGAGGGCCAGCACCCGGGCCCGACTCACCATGTCCTTGAAGGCCCCCAGGACAGCTGCCGTGAGGATGCCCAGGAGCACGCCCAGCACGTTCAGCACCGCCGAGGCCCAGAGCAGCCGATAGAGGTGAAGCACGTCCTGACAGCCGCGCACGCCCACGAACTCATAGTAGGTGAGCGGGGGCTCCGTGCTGCCCGAGGAGAGGCAACTGTCACCCACGCCGGCAAGGGGGTGACAGGCCAGCCGGACAGGGCGCAGCATGCGGGCGCTCGAGCCGTGCACCGAATCTGGTGAGCTGTGGTCTCGGCTGTGAAGACCCCGCGGGCCTTGTTGGTGTGGGGGAGGCCACCCCCCAGGAACCAGCCCAGATGCACCCTGGGGCCCTGGGGGCGAGGCTGTCCGCAGGGCGTCTGGAAATCCCTCTGGGGAAAGAGCCCAGGCCTCTGAGCAGGAAGAACCGCCCAGGCCCGCTCCCCAAACCCAGGCCCAGGCAGAAGGGTGATGACTGAGTCCCCTCACAGCAAGCAGGACTCGTGGCTGAGCCATGAACACGGGAGGGCGAGCCCCCTCATCCCAGCCCTCCCAACACGGGCCTGCGGGGGCAGCTGTGATGCACACGCATGCTGCTTCTCCCGTCTGGGCTTGGAAGTGGGATGGAGCTCTTGTTTGGGGGAGGCCCCCACAGCGCTGTGAGGCTGCCTGCAGCCTGGGCAGGTCCTCCCAGCCCATGTCAGAGAAGCGAGCCCTCCGCTGTCCACGGAGGACGGGAGAGGAGCATTCCAGAGCCGGCCAGGCCCGGGGAAGGGAGCCCCGCCGCCGCCGCCCCAGGCAGGCCCCAGCCAACCCGGGAGACGTCCCTGAGAAACCGGACGCTCACATCCAGCTCACAGCTTCTACAGAGCCACGACGAGGGGCCCGAGGCCACGGCCTCCCCCAACCCGCACCACCTCACCGAGCCTCGGTCTCTCCCCACACCCCTTCCCCACAGGGGAGGCGGCGGCGTGCGGGCCCAGGGCCGGGGGGCCGGGAGCAGGGGCCGCCCTCACCTCCGGCAGCTGTAGAGCTCACAACAGTAGCAGGTGCTGCTCTTCACCTTCAGCTGACACGGGCCGCTCGAGGGGTGGCAGGTGACCTGCACGCAGAGAGAACTCGTCCCAGTGGGCAGGGCTGCCCGCCCCGGGAGCCACGGCGCACAGGGCAGTCAGGCAGCTCCTCTTGCTGAGCCTTGTCTCCCGAACTGCCCTTCCCCCACCCATTCCAGGTGTAGTGATTTTGCGGAGTGGCAGGGCCCTCCCTGCTGGAGGGGTTCAAGGGCCCTGCTTGGCCAAGCCAGGGGCTCCAGGCAGCCACTGTTCGGTGGACAAGGAGAAGGAGAGGGTTCCAGGCACCGAGCCTGCAGGCAGGGACAGCTCCAGGAGGGGACAGGTGGGACAGCTCCCAGGAGGGGACAGGTGGGACAGCTCCCAGGAGGGGACAGGTGGGGATGCCTCCAGGAGGGGACAGGTGGGACAGCTCCAGGAGGGGACAGGTAGGACAGCTCCCAGGAGGGGACAGGTGGGGATGCCTCCAGGAGGGGACAGGTGGGACAGCTCCAGGAGGGGACAGGTGGGAATCCTTCAGGTGAGACCTCTTCCTGCCCACAGGTAGAACAGCTCCCGATCTGGCCAAGCCAGCCTTGGGTAAGCAACATGGAGGCTTCCCTTTGGGTGCCTGCCATAATGGCGCTGTAAATGGTTGGGAGATTTTGATGTTAAAAGAGCAAGATTGGAGCAAAAACACGCTCCTTCCTCCTTCCCCCAGCACTTTTCAACATGTGGCATGAGCCATACAGCCCGTGTTTGGGAAGTAAGTGAGGCAGAGACCACCGAAATTCAGAGGGGAGACAGTGGCCTCTGGGGAGGAGAAGAAGCTTCTGAGGTAGGATGGGGCACCAAGTGAGGGGCAGGGTGCAGGCTCATCTGGACTGGGACAGGTGAAGGAGCAGGGCCAGAGCCCAGAGGTCCTCAGAGCATCCCAGGGCCCCAGCCCCTCCTTGGCCACACCTCCAGAACCACTGGACATGGAGCCTTCCTTCCAAGGTCCTGTGGTTACAGGCCGTGGGGTGCTCTGGTGTGCGTGCGCACCTGCAAATGTTAAGGGAAGTGTCCAGAGCAGCAGGCCAGCAGGGGGCAAGCTGGGGGCCCCGGGTGGGGCTGGAGGCTGAGGGGGCAGGGGGACAGGGCAGTGGAGGGAGTTGCGTGGGCAGCACGTGGCTCCCGGGAAGTGTGCCACCACAGGGGATAGCGGCTTAGAGCTGGTCAGCCAGTGAGAGGCCCCCAGCCCGGCCCTGCCCACTGCCCGTTTTGCAAAGCTCTGTATGGCCACACCCCTCTGTTTACACCTTGCCCACGGTCATGTCATCCTCACACCGGAGAGACAGGGTTGAGTAGCTGGGACAGAGACCGTCTGGCCTGTAAACCCTGGAATATCACTGACCCTTTGCAGGGAAGGCTGTTGGCCACGGCCTTAGAGCATTTCAGATCCTGTGTCCACTGAATCAACAAGCTGGGGGGGCGGGGTCATCAGAATTAGCTCAAGCTCCTGGGCCAGTTCCAAGAGACAGACGGTTGGAACGAGGAGGGCGCCAGGGCAGCCCCAGGTCACATAGGCCTGTCCCCAGAAGGCCTGACAGATGGGGCTCAGGACGGGGTCCTGCTCCTCTGTGACCCCAGGAGCAGAGGTGAACAGTTGGCCATCAAGTGACTATACATCAGGGTGGGCAGGAAGGGCGGACGGCAGGAGGGTCTGTGGATGGGCGGGGGTGTGCCGGGAGGGCCCGGACAGCCCTGTGATGCCCTCTGACAGGAGAGTCCTCGGGATCCCGCCCGACGCCGGGCAAAAGGCCAGGAGGGCTGGGGGCAGCCTTTGGAGACAGGTGCCGCCCCCTGGACGGGACAGCAGGGAGCCCCAGGCCCTGAGGTTCACGGAATGCCCGCAAGCCACATTGGGGGTGAGCCCCGGTGTCTGCTCCCGGTGCCCGGCTCATCCACGCTTGTACAGTGGGGAGGCCGTGATTAGTCAGGCTGACACATTTATGCAGAGCTGGGGTAGGACGGCCCGCCCGAGCGGAAGTGGCCCTGGAACGGCAGGCGAGCTTGTTGGGTGAACGGCACGGCAGGCTGTGCAGTGAGCCGGCCGCACCCGCCCCGAGGGGGGCTGCAGGACTGCTGTGGGTCCAGGGGGCGCCGTGCATCCCGCAGGTCAGGAAGCCAGAAGCAAAGCACTCAGCTTCTGAGGGGGCACAGGGAGCCTGCGGGGCCCGGGTTAGCGGAGTGAAGCCTCCCACACCACGGTGCCCCGCGTACCTCCGTCTGGTGGGCGTCGTGCACGTACCCCACCTCGCTGGCGAGAAACTGGCATCTTCCTGCAGTGAGGGGCCTGGGCTCCTAGGCACAGAGACACGCACAGAATGCGGCCATTCGGTCCCCGGTCAGGAGGGCCCGGCCTCTGAGCCCAGGGAGGGGCCCCAAAGCCAACTGGAGTCTGCGGAGGCAGCACGGATCAGGAGACACCACCGCTCTGTCCAGGGCAGCTGGGCCCGGAGAGCAGGACCTACCCTGCAGGCGGCAGGCAGACACGTCCCTCCGCCCTCCACCCGCATAACGAGACATGTTCTACTAGGAAGGGAGAGAAAAGGACTCCGCATTAATTCATTTACCCAGCCCATCTCCTCCACCCAGTCATCCAGTCATTCACCTCTGCACCCCACCCTCCCTCCTTCCCTCCCTCCACCCCTCCACCCCTCCCTCCATCCCTCCATCCCTCCCTTCCTCCACCGCTCCACCCCCCTCCATACCTCCCCCTCCCTCTCCCCTCCCTCCACCCTCTCTTCACCCCTCCCTCCCCCTCCCTCCATCTCTTCCCCCCTCCTTCCACCCCTCCACCCCTCCACCCCTCCCTCCCTCCATCCCTCCACCCCTCCACCCCTCCCCCATCCCTCCACCCCTCCCCCCCTCCCCCCATCCCTCTAACCCTCCCTTCGTCCACCGCTCCACCCCCCTCCATACCTCCCCCTCCCTCTCCCCTCCCTCCACCCTCTCTTCCCCCTCCTTCCACCCCTCCACCCCTCCCTTCCTCCCTCCACCCCTCTCTCCCTCTCTCCCTCCACCCCTCCACTCCTCCACTCCTCCACCCTTCCCTCCACCCTCCACCCCTCCCTCCTTCTCTTCCTCCCTCTATCCCTCCACCCCTCCCTCCTTCCACCCCTCTCTCCATCCCTCCCTTCCTCCCTCCCTCCCTACAGCCGTCCACCCACCAACCACTCAACATACATCCACCACCTATGGCCCTATTCAATTTTCCCTCCAAGTCTGTGCCCAGCATCCAGGGATCATCGCAGTGCCAGACTAGGAAAGTACCCAGGTTAGACACAGTGCCCACCCCCAGGGGACACAGCAATAACAAGGAGTATTTATTTCTCCGTTAGTCATATTTCTCAGAGCACTCCCAGCTCTGACCTAAGAAGAGCATAGGAAACCACCCATGACCGCACCTTCCGGACGAAGCCCAGGGGACGGAGCTGAGCAGCCGCGGGGTCTACCTTCCCTCAGGAGATGGCTGAGGATGGATAGAGGACAGACGACAGGGCTGTGCAGGGCCGGGGGCTGGGGGACCGGTGCCCCACCGCTCTGCAGGCGCCCTGAGCCCCGCGGTGACCACCCCTGAGCCCTCGCCAGACGCCCGCTGACTCCTCCCTGACCCTCCCTCCCTCGGGGGTGTCATCCCTACAAGGCCCTGTTCTAGCAGCTCCAGCTCAGCGTCCCACCCGGTCCCGGGCACTGGTGGCACCGTGTGACAGATGGCAGCATCCTGCCGACGATGAGGTTCCCGTCCTGCTGGATCGGCGCCCTTCCTCACGCCAATAACCACGTGGCAACACCCTTTCTCACTTCGCAGCCTTCCTGGAAGGGAAGGACGGGTCACCCTGTCCTGGGCCGAGTCCAGCCCCACGGGAGCGCTGGCCACCTGGTCTGGGACATCTTGCCACTGCTTCTGCTCCAGTCTTCTGGCCACTGTACCACATGCCAAGGGTGGGGCGGCCTGAACCACGGACACCTGTTCCCGCAACCCTAGCAGCGGCCCGAGACCAGGGCGCCGGCCTCTTCCTGCCTTTCCTCCCACGGCGGACAGTGGGCTCTGGTCTCTGTCCAGACACTAATCCCACCCCATCTGACCCTGATCACCTCCCAGTGGCTGGCCCTCCTCCTGTTGCCACCGCACAGCGGTCTGGCCGCCACACACGTGTTCTGGGGACACAGACATTCAGCCGGCTGGGCGCCACCTTCAACCGGAGACAAAGAATTGGTGTAAGACTTGGACTTTTCAGTAAGTCCTCTTCCTAACACAGAAGCACTGGTGACTTGGTTTCATTTTCTGTCTGATCTTCAGCGTCCCATCAGGATGAAATAATTCTTACTGGTTTGAGTTAAATAAAACTGTGACCTATGTTAGTCCCACCTATCACACAAACTTGGTTTTTGAATGTATGATGTCCTTAGAGATTGTGTTTCTCGGGGGATAACCCTCATCTCTGCAGGGGCTGGAGAGAGCCCAGGGTCCCACTCATTCTGGTCTAAGAATATGGGCAGTGGTGTGCAGAAAGACCATTGACACGGTTTTTATTTCTTAACCGTTCCACCTAGATTAACATTAAGACACCACACTTATTAATATCAGACTCTAAGTCACTAAAGCTCAGTTGAAACCCTGTGTGTCTCCTGCAGGGGTCGGCCCCCTATAGCCCTTGGGCCGCGTCCGGCCCACAGCTTGATTTTGTAAATAAAGTTTTATTGGCACAAAACCATGCTCATTTGTCCACATATGGTCTGTGGCTGCTTTTGTGTTGCGACGGTGGCACTAAGTAGCCGTGGCCACAGGCCTAATGTGCTGACCCTGACCCTTTCCAGAGAGGTCGGTTGCCCCTGGCCTGTTGCACAGGGGGAAGGCAGCTGTGAATGAGGAACCGGGGCCACCGGGAGGAAGAAGACACCGTGCCCCTGCCGTCAGCGCAGCGTGGTGAGTCCCAGCCACGAAGCTGTTCTGTGAGCACAAGTCCATCCTGACCCCATTATTTCCCGTGTCTCCTGTGATAAACCAGAACCACGAGTCCCGCAGACGATCCGCCAGAAGGCTCCGCTGGGTAGAAGTCAGTGATTCCTGACAGATGTCCTGACGACCTTCCGAGTCCCAGGGGCCGGCGTTCCGCTTTGCGAGGCACCCGCCAGTTTGGAACGAGGGAGTCCTAGCGGGCAACATTCGCGCCTCTCCTGCAATCCAGTCAACAGAACCCAGTCGTCCGAGAAAGGGGACAGGTGCCGAGGGAGCGCATGCCTTCCCTTGTTGCTCCTGCACGCGGCATGGAGGAGACCTCCCGCTTCAAAACAAGTGGTTTTGAAGGAAATTTCTCTGTGACGTGTCTGAGTGGGAGGAGAGACTAGCAAACACCCACGCACAGGGCAGACCTCAAGACCGGGGTTCCCAAGGCTGCCTGCCCGACCCAAGCCCCCCGGCCTCTGCTGGGCAGGCAGGGCGAGGGCTGTCGGCAGTCGGGAGAGAGGAGCCTGGAGTGGAGACTGTGAGCAGCAAGCGTGCAAGCGACTGGAGGCCTGAGGCTGGGACTGACCCGGGAGGGGAGCCGACGCCCGGCGGGCACTGGTGCGGGCCTCGAGACCCAGCCACATTGTCACCGTTCCTAGGTGCTTGTGGGCACAGGAAGGGGTGTCCACCCTGCAGGCCCAGTGGTCCGGAGCCACCGGCCTGAGCTCTGCAGGCCTGGGTGCAGCTGGGCCTCAGCGCCGTGCCCAGCACCACATCCTGCATCCTGGGGCCTGTGTTCCCCACATCTTGGTGTCCCCACATTTTGTCTCCCAGTTGTTGGCATCTTAAAATCATAATTTGGGGAGGTGCTAAAAGCCGGTGACAAGTTTGTGGGAAAGAGCCTTTGGTCAATTGATTTTATCGTCTGTTGGACAATCATCCCCAGCCGCCGAGTCCGGCTGCCCACGTTCAGCCTGGAAACTCAGCTCCTTCGGAGCCACGTCCGTGTCTTCCCCGATGCCCACGCCCTGCGCAGGGAGGACGGGCCAGCCCCGCAGACAACGGCCACATGCAGCCACAGCAAAGCAGAAAACCAAGCCGAAGACTAAAGGAAAGTGCAAGGGTGTGAGGAGTGGGCCATGCTGCGGCGGGCTCAGCAAGCACCCTTGGTGTCTGGGGGAGCCTGAGCTCTCCAAAGGCAGTGGCCTCCCCGGGGCTGGGCCAACTGCCCCTACAGCACTCACTTCGAACCCCTGACCGGGGAGAGTGAAGCCGTGCACTTGGTCCTCGCATTTTAAAACTTTTATTTGGAAATAATTTCAAACTTACAGAAAAGTGGAAAGAATAGGTTACTATAAGGCAAACCCGGATTAGCCTAAGATTAACACTGGGTGCCGGCACTTTTTTTTTTTTTTTTTAAGATTTTATTTATTTTTTTGACAGAGAGAGAGCACAAGTAGGCAGAGAGGCAGGCAGAGGAAGAGAGAGAGAAGCAGGCTCCCCACAGAGCAGGGAGCCCGACGTGGGGCTCGATCCCAGGACCCCAGGATCATGACCTGAGCCGAACGCAGCCACTTAACTAACTGACTGAGCCACCCAGGCGCCCCTTGCACTTTTTAAAGACCTAAGAAGCATTCAAGTTTATGCAGGGCACGTTGGAGCCTCACGAAGTTCTGACGGCTTTGCCTTCTCAGGACAGAGATGGGGCACCAGGTCGGGACCACTGTGGAAGGATGGACAGACAACGGGGCCAGGCCCCTGCTCCCCCCATTGATTCCACCCCCAGGGGGCAGGGCCTCATGCACAGTCCCTGAGCTGGGAACCCAGAGCACTCTCCCTCAGCTCCCTTCCAGACGAACAAGGAAAATTGCATCAGGGCCCTGCACCTTGGCCCCCTCACCATGCTCCCCCAGCCCCTTCCTCTCCCAGGTCACCAGCCAGGCAGAACCTGGGGCCGAGTGAAGATGCCCGTCTTCAAACACCATGTCACCACTTCTCAGGAAAACCCAGCTATTGCTGGCTCTGTAGTTAATAGAGGAAAAAAGATGGGTCTCGTGAAGCCCTCTACCCAGACTCTGTCTGTGGGTTCCCAAAAGTCCACATCTCATTTCAACTAAAAGAACAGGGTCTGCCCAGGAAAGGGTGGTCTTCCTTGATTTGGCAGCCCCTAAAAGGCACACGTGACTCCAGGTCATCCTCAACCACACCCTGGGAGAGGAGCATCACCCCATTGCAAGTAGGAAACTGGCCCAAGCTCACAGTTTGCTCCTGGGCTTCTCGGACTGAAAAGCCTGCACCTTTTTATCCGCCTCCCCCCACCTCCAGGGGCTTTGCTTGGCCCTGGAGACTCTGGGCAGCACCCCACTCTTGGTACCAATTTCTTAGTCCATGCGGGTTGCTGCCACAAAGATACCGTAAGTTGGGGTCAGTGAGCAACAGACATCGGCTCCTCATGGTCTGGCAGCTGGGAGTCCAAGGTCAGGGGGCGCCAGATCCAGCGTCTGGTGGGAACCCACCTCCGGGTTCAGGGACAGCGTGGGCTCGCCCACGAGGAGGAGGACATCCCTTCACAGAGGTCCCACCTCGTGACCTCCCGAAGCCTGCACCCAGTCACTGTAGCCTTGGGGACTAGGTTTCCACATGAGCATTTGTGGGGACAGAGCTCTCCGTGGGCGGCACAACCCTGATGCTGTTGCTGCGCGGCGTGCTTACTGGCGAGCTCGGAGGCCTCGGGGCAGCAGGAACGCGATGTCCGTCTGCTGCCCGCCCAGCGCTCCTCAGGCTGTAGACGTCTGTCGCAGCGTCTCAGGTCCTTTAGCAGGACAGGACACTGGGAAGGTCGACATGGCTCGCCCAGCGGACGGCGGAGGCCGAGCCGGCACCAGCCCCGCCGGCTCCTGTGTCCGACATCCAAGGTCAAAGCAGCCGTACATGATGGGCGTCTGGTTTCAGAGGAAATGTGGGCCAAGGGCCGGTCAGCTTGAAACAAGAGCCATTTCCTGACATTATAGCAAAGCTTTTCTAAATATACAAAAAGGTTTAAAAACTATCCTACCTAATTTGACAATGGATGCCTGGTCGCCTTGACCGATTTTAGCAGACTTTAGTATTTTTACGCTCATCATCCTCATTGCTCTGATTTCTCTTTCACTTGGAACCTGCTTGTCACAAACAAAACAAGCCAGCGCCCTGAGCCGTGGCCGCGGTTCCACAGCGAGCCCCTGGTGCGGCTCTGCCCTAAGGGACCCCTGACGGACGCTTCACGCCGTGAGATAAACGGAGGTAAAGGGTCTCACAACCACAGCATCAGGAGAAAACTCTCTCAAGACACGAATTTGAACTAAGTGCTCGGGCAGAGGTTTCAGAGCTAAGATAGAGGAAAGTCACATAGGAAGCTGAAAATTTGGATTCCGACTGAGATGCCGATGCTGGTGCCTGTGTGTGTCAGTGTGTACCTGTGCACGTGTGTGTGTGCGTGCACATGTGTGCCTGCGTGTCGGTACACACTCATGCACACGCGTGTGCGTGCGTGTATGTGCACGTGTGTCCATGTGCACATGAGTGTGTGTGAGTGTGCTTAGCGTGTGCGTGTGCATGCAGGTGAGTGTGCGAGTGCGTGTGTGCATGTGAGTGTGCACAGATGTGCATGCACGTGAGTGTGTCCATGTGCACATGAGTATGTGTGTGTGCTTAGCGTGTGCGTGTGCATGCAGATGAGTGTGCAAGTGCGAGTGTATGCATGTGAGTGTGCACAGATGTGCATGCAAGTGAGTGTGTCCATGTGCACATGAATATGTGTGTATGTGAGTGTGCTTAGCGTGTGCGTGTGCATGCAGATGAGTGTGCGAGTGCGAGTGCATGCACGTGAGTGTGTGTATGCCCCGTGTGCATGTGACGCACACAAGTGCGTGAGGGTACTGCATGTGCACGTGAATTGTATGCATGTGACGGTGAGTGTGTGCACGTGAGTGTCCTGTCCGTGCACGCACACACTTGTGCATGGGTGTGCACTTGTGCGGCTCAGTTTTGCAGGGAACGAGGAAAAGCCAGAGAAGGACAAACAAGTGGAGAAAGGAACCAAGAAGGTCAGTGAGCTGAATTCTGCAAAATGAAATTTTGTTTTTGTAGATGTTTTTAAACCCCCACCAGCAACGGAGAACAAAATGTAGAAGGAACTCACTATGTGCCGAGCCGCAAACACGCCGTCCACAACGGCGCAGCAGAAGGCCGCCACCACGCCGAAGCTGATGAACACGATGGCCGCGACCAGCTGGGGCAGAGGGTAGAGGAGTGAGTGGGCATCACGTGCTCCCAACAACCGTTCTTCACGTACAAACCATCCAAAGCCCCGCTTGCTCCCCGGGCTTGCGGCCTCTGCCACCCACCCCCCCGCCCCGACTCAGCGGACTCAGGCGGGCTGCGTTCTTGTTGGTTCTTCCACAGGGCAGACGGGAGCTTCTGGCCCCCGGGTCCCCCGCGTGCCCCTCATGAATAAGCGGATTATTAAACGGTCTGCAATTTCTTGCTATTGCAAACTCTGCGACAAAGACCCTACATATGTTCTGTGTACAAGTCTGGGTTTTCTGTGTGGGAATCTCAGCAGGACAGACCCTGGAGCCCAAAAGACCCCACACATTCAGACAGGACACATCTGGGTCTCTGCACCTTAGCATCAGAGAAGCGCCACATTGTCCTGTAAAGAGGCTTTGCCAGTTTTTACTCCAACTGTCTAGCAGCGCCCATCTCCTTATACCCAAAAGACACTTCCTATTATTAATTGTTTAGATGCTGCCATCTGATGGGCAAAAAGGCTCATCAGTATTTCCAGTTGCATTTCTATTAAGAACCTTTCCTTGGATTTGTTGGACATTTCTTTAAATTTTTTAAATTTTTTTGTGAAATAATTGTAAATGTACCAAAACAAGTAGCAAAAGTAGTACAAAGAATTCCCCTGTGTCATCCGCTGAGGTTCCCCGAGTATTAACAGCATCAAAACCACAGCCACAACTTCTAACCTGTAATCCCTCCAGCAGCAAGAACCCCACTCGCATGACCCACAGCGTGTGTGTTTGTTTACTGGGTCCGGGACTCTGCATAAAGCGGCTCGGAACAGTAGGCTGTAAGCAGGACACGGTGTTTGTGAGCAGCTCTCTGGGTCTCCAGCCTTGGACATGAGCTCCAGACTGTCCTCCCAGGTTGTTCAGGTTGGTTTTCCACGTGTGCGAGCTGCTTCTGTCAGCAGTCAGGCTCACTGGCTGCTTTTCCGAGGGGCCTGCTCCCTCTCCATCCTTGTTAATCTGGACTACTTATTTGTTCAGCCAAGCACAGGGAGCCGGTATGAAACGCCACCAGCTTGACACCCAGGGGCAGAGTGGGGCGGGAGCGCCACTCCGACCCCGAGGAGCCGGGGAGGGGGCCGGCTCACCCTGGACCCCAGCCCTGCCAGTGCCCAGTGGAAACTGTGCCCTGACTTCACAAGCAGGGGCTTTGCCCAAGTCCCTGGGGGTCTGTGAACTGGTGACTGTCTCGTCCCCAGTTTCCCCCTCTGGAGACAGAGGTGCTGGCCCTGACTCATTCTTGCATTGAATGGATGGTTCCAGAGCGCCCCCTTGGAGCCTGCCTCTCCGGGGCGCGGGCCCATGTGACAAAGCCGACGAGGTCCTCGGCTCTTCCCCAGGGTCTGACACTCCTGATATTGGATGACGAATTGACTGAAAGAGAGCCTGAGGCCCTGGGGGGGTGGGGGGTGTGTGTGGAAAGCACCCCCGTTGTTCATCCAAACAACAAAGAACAATTATCCTGTGGCCCGAGGCAGCTCCCAAACCCACTGTTCCGCAAACAGCTCTGGCCCGTTGACTCCGTCACAACCAGGCTGTCCGCACGTGGGAGGGGAGCCCAGCCCAGCAGGCGCCCACGGGGGCCCGTGGCCCCGGGCGGCACTGACCGTGGAGGTGGCCAAAGGCCAAAGCGCCTCCTTCATCCTGGTCGGGATGGAGAAGCCACATGGCCCCTCCCTTCTGCGCACAAGGAAAGGACAGGGATGGGGAGTCTCGGGAGCGTCGTCTGCAGAAATGACACGGCACCAAACTTCCCTGCATTTGTATCGCTGTTGTGAAAAAATGCACTAAAACATCTATAGAAGATCAGCCGGAGGTTTTCAAATTTCCTGCAAGGGAGGCCAGGCACCTCGTTTTCCAAAATAAATAAATAAATGAATGAAAAGCCTGCACCTAATTTGACTGCTGAGCCCTCGAGCTTCCCACTCCGCCTGTTCTGCCGGCCCCAGAGCGATGTGGCTTGTCCTTGCCCAGCTCAGGCCTTTCGGGAGGAAATGCTGAGCCCCTCCTACTGGCCCGAACCCCGAGGCAGTGCTGCCCCGTTTAGTGTCGGGCCCCATCACCACCGCCTCCTCCTGTGATGAGGAGACTTGCCGCCCACAGGGAAGGACCCTGTCTGTGATGGGGCCACGGCGTCCCCTGGGGCTAGTCCCCGGCCAGAGGGGCTGACAATGAACAGAATCACCTTCAAGCTCAGGGTCCTCTCGCGCGTGTGTCCCTCCCAGTCCTGCAGCTGTGACATTGTCGTCCACAGGGGGTGCCGGCCACCCTGCTATTTCAGGAGCTCAGGATGCAGCCCCGCGCCTCTCCACCAGGCCTCCCAAGCAGCCCGTGATCTCGGGAGGGGGGCAGACTCTCTGACACAAATCCAACGGGAGGGAGAGCCCACTCCTCCAGCGAACACCCCGGAGCATGGTCTTTGTCCCAGACGCCCTGCTCACACCGGCCCATGATGCTCTAGATCCACAGGTACCCTGGGCCTCACAGCCCATGGCGTGAACTCTCTTTCCGTGGTGCCCTCCCCTCTTCTATGTCTGCCCCCCTCGTCCCCACCACCTCCTGGGCCACTTCTGATGTCCTCAAGGAGCTGGACTGTCCCCAGTGACAGCTCTCCTAGAGCCCGGTGGGGTCTGGGGCCAGCCTGGCACCGGGTCCTCGTCGGAAGTGGGTGTCCCCCCGCCCTGTGCATTGTGCACCCACACTCCGGCTCAAGTGCTAGCCAGGACATCCACCAAGCACTTGCCACTCACCTGAGAAGCTTCCGGAAGTGGCCCTGCCCCTGACCACTGACAGCCTGCTACATCTCTCACCATGAGTGTGCAAGCAGGGCGTTGGTAGGACCTGCTCCCAAGCGAGCTCCTCGTGCATGGACTCGATGGCCCCCCGGAAAGTGCCACACTCCACGTCCTGGCCACGCGACCAGCTCCGACCCAGCGGTGGCCATGAGGCCTCCCGGCTGCCCTCAGCACTCTCGATCTACAGACGTGCTCTGGTTTGGTCTTACACAAACTGCCCCATCACTTGAATGTTCTCATCAGCTTTCGACTGGCCCTGTGTTTCTGCCCACCACCCTCGAAAACACGCTCAGGTCGCATGGGGACTGCCACACATACGCATTCAGCATGGAGGCCGTGAGCCCACGAAGACAGAGGTAACAGGCCTCACCACCCTGCCCGGGTCCCTCCTCCCGGGATGAAGGGAAGGGCACCTTCAGATCTCCACTGGGCTCGCAGAATTTACATTGCAGCAGGGAAGCCAGATTAAAAACCAAACACCAATAGATAAGGTCATGTTGATAATGCAGGAAAGAGAGAAAAAAGTGGGTGCGAGCTTGTCCCCTGGTGGGAAGGTTGTCACCTGGTGGACAGGCCTCTCGTCCGGGGCACTGGACACCCCCAGTGACTCAGGGCCACCAAGGGGTCTTACCGGGCAAGGTGGTGCTCTCAGGAGGGTTTCAGAAGGCCGCCCTGGGGCTTGAGAGCCCTCTGGCTGCAGGATGGGAGCAGGTGGGAAGGGGACAGTTAACTCCTGGGGACAATGACCCAGGCAAATGAGGACCAGGTGGGAACTGGTGCAGAGCACGGGGCTGGTCTGAGGGGGCACCTAGAGGGGACATGGGATGGGCAGAGTGGTCAGGCCACAGGGCTTGGGAGACACATTCACACCGGCAGAGGGGGCATTAATCAGAAGGGCCGGGTGGAGGGTGGCCCCCTGCACAGGTGGAGGGGCTCAGTCTACAGCCCGGGGGCATCACGTGGACAAGGTGGGTGGGGACGCAGTCTGCCAAGGAGAACGTCACTGGGCCCTCACCAGGGAGCCCGCGGGTGGTCCCGACACCCCAAAGCAGGGGACCAGGACTCTTGGGCCATCCCTCACCAGGTGTCCCTCGTCCCTGTGGACCATCTGCCCCCGGCTGTGATTGGGGTCCTCTGTCGGGGACACTGTGGGCCCTGAGCCTCGCCCTGGTGTGCGTCACTGTGCAGACCACCCTGCCTCCCCCATGACCCCAGGCTGGAGTCCGTGTGTCTTCCATCCACACCCCCACCATCCCCACCTTCCTCTTCCCAACCACAAGGATGGGGCTAGAACTAATCACGGGTGGAAAAATGGAAGATCCACAAATATGTGGAAACCAAACATCACACCCGTAAACAACCAGTGGGCCAAAGAAGTCAGCAGGGAGGCCGTACCCCAGGTTGAGGTGAACGGGATGAAATGAAAGCCTACAGGGGCCCCACTCAGAGGAGGCGCCAAAGCTCGGCAGGAACTCACCGCTGTAAACACACACTGATAAAGCAGACGGATCGCCAATCAATCGCCTAACGCCCTAAAGAACTGGAAAAAAGGAGCAAACTAAACTCAAAGCCAGCAGAAGAAAGGGAATAATAAAGGTTAACACAGAGATAAAAGACACAGGGGAAGAAAAATAAAGACAATCAATGTTCCTGGAAGGTGGTTCTTTGAAAACGTCAACAAAGCTGACAATCTTTAGCTGAACTCAGAGAACAGGAGAGAAAAACCAGATGACTGAAATCAGAAGTGAATTTAGGGACATTATTACCAACTTTACAGAAATTAAAAGGATTATAAGAAGATGCTGTGAGCTATTGTGCACCAACAAATGTGATCATCGAGATGAACCAATCCCTAGGAAGCACAGATCACCAACACTGACTCAAGAAGAAATAGCAGATTTCCAGAAACCCATACAAAGTAAGATTGAACCAAAACCCCCCAACAAAGGACCAGACGGCTTCCTTGGCAGTGTGCAGGGAGAGACGCCAGCAGGTCCACGGACAGGGGCCGAGGTGAGACCAAGGGGACCCGCGGTGGGGACAGCGCCTGGGTACCCGCGGCCACAGGGGATGAGTCCACACCGCGAGCTCGCATTCCAGCGCTCGCCCCCCAAGAGCTTCCTACCTCCCCGTCCCAA